CGTCCTTCCGAATATGACCTATTTTTTATCAAAACTTCAACTTTGGGTGACATGTTCTAAAATCCCAAAGCTGGGATCAGAAAACTGAAAGCAGTTTTGGAAACCTCAATATGTTTTCTATTTACTCCAAAAGTATTTCCCAGCCCTGAAAGAAATGTGGACCCTATGGGCAAAAAAGTAAAAAATTTTCATTCGTATTTTTGGGAATTGCGGGATGCCCTTTGACCTTTTCAATTTTTTTTTTGCATTTTCTTATTTGAAATGACAAATTTAACAAGCGTTGAAAATTTCATTGAGTTTTGTTCATAAATAAAGATTTTGTCATATATTACATATTTGTTTAATTTCTAAAACTATGATTTATATCAAAATTTTAATAGGGTCGCAGATAGCTACAACAATTTAGTCCATATTTATCCCTTAATATCATTTTTTAGTTAGACATGGAAATTCTCGACCCTTTACAAAAAATTTCAAGCCAATATCTCAATTACATTCAAAAATATGTTCATTTAAACCTTTAATTTCCTTTAATTTCATCTTCTTCATATTTTACTATTATGTATGACAGAACATACATTTGGTGTTGAATAAAATATTTGGACAATTTTTAAAAATTATTTAGTTAATTATTTTATTAAAGACTATAAAATTGTATATACAATAAAAAAATTATAATGTTATTATGAGCCACGCACAACAACACCTAAATCACCCCACACAAACCACCTTTCCCGCCCACAGAAACATAAAACACAATTTAATACAATATCATCAGTTAGTATAATAGCTATTTTTATTTGAACTGTTTATCTTAAACATAATACAATTTATTCTTACAACCTACTTATATAGTTAATTCCTAACACTACTTATTTTCTATAAAATAATCTGTCATATCGGTATACATATCCAGAAGGTAATATAAGTCCTTTAAATCTTCCTTGTTTTGAGATGATAGAGTTTCATAACAAATCCATCTTTTTCGCATAGTTGAAAGAACAGGATCAAAAGATAGAAGTAAAATATTAAAAATATCTTCATTCTGCGATTGCCTGGAGCATTTTCTTGAGCTGAATAGTTGAACATGCTTAAAATCTCGATTCCTCGCTTCCTGGGCTTCTTCTGTTAACTCTCCAAGTGGAAGAATATTCGATTCAATTATTATTTGACCATGACACAATACTTTGTGTACTGTTGGTGTTAGTTCCCTCCATGGGTACAGAGATACAAGTAATTTAGAAATTTCAGATGTATATTCCCCAAATCGATTTCCATTAATTTTATGTTTACTATTCAGTGCCATTAAAATAGTGTTAACTCTTCGAAGCAACTCCTTGTCGATTCCAGTTATTTTTGAAGTAATTTCAAAATCACGAAAAAATCTTCTCGCCGTATTACCGTCATTTGTACTACTGCAACTTGGAAGTGGTTTGTCGATGTTTAATCCCATCTAAACTTTAAATTCTTCTTGGATTCTGCTTTTTTCGGCAGCTCTCAGTTCTTTCAATTCTTCATTATTTTTTGTTGATTTAGTAAGATTCTCTGGCACACTTCTATATTTGAGGTCGTATGCTATATGTAAAAAGTAATCCAAAAATCGTATTCTGGCATGAAGTGGTGAAATTCCGAAAGACAGGTCTTCTTCATTAATACTTCTGCTTTTGTTTATATTTGAGAATTGCGACTTTTTCTCATTACATATTGAGCATCTCCAGAAGGAAGAAGTTTCTGTTATGGCATTACTGACCTTTCCATCAATCATTGTTAAGCTTAGCTGATATGATACGTTAATAGAGAATTCCTTTATTTTTATGCAAATGGGCTCCAGTGCATTTATTTCATCTTTTAAATATTCCACTAAATCTTTTGTTGTTTTCTTTGACTCCTTTTTTTCAGCATTTCGTTAAATGCAATTTCCTCATTTGAGATTGGAAATAGTTTTTGTGTGACCCTCTTTTTTTTGACCTTGAACATAAGTCTTCGTATGACTTGCAAGGCGCTCCTGTTGATGTGTTGTAAGTTGAGATTTCCGTAGTAGTTTCCATCCAACTACAAAATTTTAATCGAAATTTCTTTTGATTTCCATCCACAGACTTACTTTTTATATCAAAAAGTTTTAAAAAGTTTTCAATTTTTGATATGCCTGTTTTGTCTACTTTTCTATATGTAGTTTTTATATAATTTGAAATGTCTTCAATTCTTTCTGGCCCTTTTGAAGATACACTCCATAAAACGGAACACAACTCTTCGTACTTTAATGTAATCTTCATTGTAGATTTATTAAATATGGTACTTAAAATCTGAGAAGTTTACTTATATACCAATTCTTGTCATTTCCGATACAGGTATTCCAAAGTAAAAAATTACGAATTGTCTACCTATTAACATTTAGGACTATATTACTATAACCTGTAATTCAGTCATTGATATTTCTTATTAGTGAATGAATTGAAATTATAATTACCTGTATATTTTTACCTAATGATCATAAACGAAACAGAACGAAATGATCTGTCGAAAAAATTTAGGTAAAAAATAGTTATAAATTTCTGAAAATTTAAGCATAATAGGACCTTTCAATTATAAGGATAAGCAAACAAATAGAAAATAGATAAATATAAGATTTAAATAGGTTCTGTCATACTTAATACTAAAATATGAAAAAGATGAAATTAAAGGACACAGGTTTAAATGAACATATTTTTGAATGTAATTGAGATATTGGCTTAAAATTTTTTGTAAAGGGTCGAGAATTTCCATGTCTAACTAGGAAATGATATTAAAGGATAAATATGGACTAAATTGTTGTAGCTATCTGCGACCCTATTAAAATTTTGATAAATCATAGTTTTAGAAATTAAACAAATATGTAATATATGACAAAATCTTTATTTATGAACAAAACTCAATGAAATTTTCAACGCTTGTTAAATTTGTCGTTTCAAATAAGAAAATGCAAAAAAAAAATTGAAAAGGTCAAAGGGCATCCCGCAATTCCCAAAAATACGAATGAAAATCCCAAAAATGGGATTTTTTACTTTTTTGCCCATAGGGTCCACATTTCTTTCAGGGCTGGGAAAATACTTTTAGAGTAAATAGAAAACATATTGAGGTTTCCAAAACTGCTTTCAGTTTTCTGATCCCAGCTTTGGGATTTTAGAACATGTCGCCCAAAGTTGAAATTTTGATAAAAAATAGGTCATATTCGGAAGGACGCAGTGGCAACATTTTCAAAAAATAGGACAAGTTTTTTACGCCAAAGCGTTCTGCATAAAGATACCTTTTAGAAAACTATAAAATTGTTATATGTTCTTAAAGAAAATTTTATTTTATTAATAAAAGAGTTAAGACACATTTTTGGCAAAAAAACGGCAAAAATCTAAAATTTTTTGAATTTTTAAATTAAAAAACGTATATTTTTGGATCTGTAAATGATATTGATCTGAAATTTTTTGTATATTATTGGAAATTTTGTTGTCTAACTAAATTGAATCAATTTGGTCCAAAATTACGCCCGGTATTCAAAGAAAGGCGGACCAAGGTATGGTAAATTTTGTATCACTAAATTTTTAAATGCCTATAACTCGGATATTATAAGAGATAAGTAGTATGTCCAAGCATGTTTTTTCAAGATCTCGTCGAGCGATTTCACAAAATATAAAAATCTTTGTATTAGGGTGAAAAACAAAAAAATGGCACGAGTTTAAAAATTTTACATGTTGTAGGTACCCTACTTTGAGCCGCCACAGGGCCGTCCCTGGGGCATCTGCAGGGTTCATCTTCAAAACTTAAACTCGAATACTTCTCGTCTACGCTCACGCCAAATTTTATCCCGATCGGATCAGCCGTTTAGAAATGCCAGATTTATTTCCAAAAAATTTCCATTCTGCCCCACTGTGTAGTAGTTTCTGAGAAAACTTCTCAAGAATTAGGAAAAAAAAACTTTTTTTCGAGGTAGTCCGAAATTTTTACTCATAACTTTTTACGTTGTGGACCGATTTGGCTGATTTTCAATACCAAACTGCTTAGGACAATAGTGAATATTTTCACAGACAGACAGACGGACACAGCTAAATCGACTCAGAATTTCATAAGGATCCAGAATATATATACTTTGTTGGGTCTCAGATGAATATTTCTTGGTGTTACACACGGAATGACAAAGTTATATATACCATCTATCACCACTTATGGTGGTGGAGGGTATAATAAAAATATGAATTTAGTACTTTTTTGTATATTCGGACGTTTATGGTGTAAAAATTGTACCTATTTTTGGTACTTTTTTCATAAAACATTGTTTTTGGTTTATTAACATATACATATGAATACATAGTAACTGGCTCCCAGTACTACACAGAAAAAATAGGAAATCGATTTCAATTAAAAAAGTCTTCGGTAGTAACAACTTTTTTTTTTTTTTAAATTCCGGTAGAAAAATATTTGTATTATTAATCAACGAGTTTGTACGATTGAGGTTTTGCCTTTTTTTAAGATTAATTGAAATGTAAATTCAAGTTTCAATTAAATGTGTAATTGAACCAATTAAAGATTTAATTAAAATTTTTCAATAAATATTTTAATTCGACGAAATAAAATATTAATTAAAGTTTTTAACATTTATCAATAAACAAGTTAATTGATTCAACTAAAAAATAATCAAATTTAGTGATTTAAAAATATTAAAATTTTAATTGAATTAATTAAAACAATAATTAAAATTTTTCAAAAATATCAAACAAATAAATTGTTTAATTCAATTAAAAATTTAATTGATTCGCAGTTCTAAATTAATTAAATAATTTGAAATTGAAAGACAAAATATTTTTTTATTTATTTATTTATAAAAACTTAAAAATTTCAGTTTTTGAATATTACAAGTATGTATTTATATTAAAATAATTTCGTATACAATAAAAAATAATCTTTGAAAATATAATAAAGAAATAATTATATTAAAGTGTATATTTTTTCATTTTGTACATTTCAGGTATATATTTATAAATCTATTTTAGAAGAAGAAATTAAACATTTTTATATATTTTATATGCATACTAATATTAAGTAAATGCTTAAAAAGAAAATTAATTATAAATAGTATATAAATACAAATACTAATTTTTCATCTTAAGTATCTCATGTTTAATTATATTTGATTTAATAAATTTTTTGCTTGCAGGCAAATCATAGAAAAGGGATTGAATAAAGTGGTAAACAATTTCGGACTCACTAGGATATTCCAGGTTAAAAACAAAAAAGATTTTAAATAGAACATCAAATGCTTTAAGGGTTGAAACAAAAGGATACCTTAAATTATCAAAATATACAAAAATTTGTTTTACTTTCAACGTATCCCCAAATCACAAGTAACATGAATTTTTCGGCCTTGTAATTTTAATAATTTCCATTGTACTGACAACAACAGTAAATGATTCTTGCAAATCCGCTATGATAAACTTTTTCTTATATTTTGCTCCATTTTTATCTGTGCTTATTTTGAGTGGAAATAAATTATGACAATACCACAAAATTGTAAACATTTTAGAATCTGTAAACATAAATAATATTTAGATGGAACCATGACGAAAATGTATGCTGTTTTTTACCTTCATCGATACGTTCAGTTTGTAGTAATTTTTTTGGAAATTAATGAGCAGGATATTCTTGTCTTCAAAATAAATAACAAATCTTCTGCAAAATATGGCCAACGCTCCTCAAAGTTTTTCGCCACTGGATATTTTAGTACGAAATCGATATCAATCTGAAAACGAATACAAAATGAAAAAAAACAAGTAAGAGTGTTATATTCGGCTGTGCCGAATCTTGTATACCCACCATCAAATCATTGCCAAAAAGAAATGCTTCCTTATTAATAAACTTTGATATTTAAGAATCGATGCTTTTGTTATTATCAAAACAATATTCTCATTTATTACATCTATGCATAGGGAAATTTTTGTCGAATTTTGTCGCTGTCCTTGTATTTTTAAGGTAGCAAAAAGCGTTAAAGTAATTTTCTGAGGGGACGTTTGGTCAATTATGGACTGATCCTCGTCAAATTTTCTATAACGATTTTAGTTTAGGCTAAAGCCATTTTACGAAGGGGAACTTGTATGGGGGTAGGATAAATTATGGACCGATCGTTATAAAATTTTACAAAGCGATTTAGGTTTCTATAGAATAAGTTTATGTCGAATTTCATAGCTATAGATGCTTCTTTTAGACAATTATGAACCTTAAAGCCATTTTCTGAAGGGAACCTCATATGGGGGGTAGGGTCAATTATGGACCGATCCTTATAAGTTATGAGCGCTAATGTCATTTTCTGAGGGGGGCCTTATATGGGGAATAGGGTCAATTATGAACCGATCCTTATAAAATTTTACAAAAATTTTACGTTAATGTCATTTTCTGAGCGGGACCTTATATGGGGGATAGGGTCAATTATGGACCGATCCTTATAAAATTTTACAATGATATTAAGGTTCCTAAAAAACATGTTTATGTCGAATTTCATCGCTATAACTGCTTTTTTTAATCAGTTATGAGCACTAATGTCATTTTATGAGGGAGACCTTATATGGGGGATAGGGTCAATTATGGACCGATCCATATAAAATTTTACAATGATATTAAGATTCCTATAAAATATGTTTATGTTGAATTTCATCGCTATAGCTGCTTTTTTTAATTAGTTATGAGCGTTAATGTCATTTTCTGAGGGGGACCTTATAGGGGGGATAGGGTCAATTATGGACCAATCCTTATAAAATTTTACAATAATATTAAGGTTCCTAAAAAATATGTTTATGTCGAATTTCATCGCTATTGCTGCTTTTTTTAGTCAGTTATGAGCGTTAATGTCATTTTCTGAAGGGGACGTTATATGGGGGATAGGGTCAATTATGGACCGATCCTTATAAAATTTTACAATGATATTAAGATTCCTATAAAATATGTTTATATCGAATTTCATCGCTATAGCTGCTTTTTTTAGTCAGTTATGAGCGTTAATGTAATTTTCTGAGGGGGACCTTATATGGGGGATAGGGTCAATTATGAACCGATCCTTATAAAATTTTACAATGATATTAAGATTCCTACAAAATATGTTTATGTCGAATTTCATCGCTATAGCTGCTTCTCTTAGTCAGTTATGAGCGTTAATGCAATTTTCTGAGGGGGACCTTATATGGGGGATAGGGTCAATTGTGAACCGATCCTTATAAAATTTTACAATGATATTAAGATTCCTATAAAATATGTTTATGTCGAATTTCATTGCTATAGCTGCTTTTTTTTAGTCAGTTATGAGCGTTAATGTCATTTTCTGAGGGGGGACCTTATATGGGGGATAGGGTCAATTATGGACCGATCCTTATAAAATTTTACAACGATACTAAGATTCTTAAAAAATATGTTTATGTCGAATTTCATCGCTATAGCTGCTTCTTTTAGTCAGTTATGACCGTTAATGTCTTTTTCTGAGGGGGACCTTATATGGGGGCTAGGCGAAATCGTGGACCGATATTGCCCATTTTCAATACCAAACAAACTGCATCAATATAAAATATTTGTGCAAAATTGCTGCTTCCGTTTGGACTCTATCGTGTTTTCAACAGACGGACAGACGGACGGACATGGCTAGATCGTCTTAGAATTTAATGAGGATCCAGAATATATATACTTTTATGGGTCTTAGATGAATATTTCGATGTGTTACAAACGGAATGACAAAAACAATATACCCCCCATCTTTTTTGATGGTGGGTATAAAAATAGTATGTATGTAGATGTATTATTTTAAATCGACTAAATTATATGCTAGACTGTAAGCTATACTATAAACTACCCCCCTTATTCAAAATTCGTATAGGAATTTTGTTTTATAAGCCTTTTATAAAATACAATGTTATTTATGAATAAGGGAGTATATATCTACTGAATTATTCATAAACATTTATCAAAGGTTTATAGAACAAATTTTGTATGAAATTTTGATTTATAAACCATTGATAAAAGTTTATGAATAAGACCTCTAGACTATTGACAATTATAGATTATGTACTAGACTAAATAATTAGACATGAGTAAAGTACTAAATGTTTTTGCATGGTACTTACCAGAAGGTGTCCAGAAGGTTTTGTGTATTCTGGCCATAATTTAAAAATTTCACACGTATTCTCAGAATTTGAAATTTGTTGCAAAGGTAACGGAGCACACTTCTGCCGATAAATATCAAATTCATCTTGTTTTATTTTTGAAGATCTTAAAACTTCTATTATTAAAGTGCAATTAAGAAAAAAATATTGTTAAAATATTTATGATGAAAATTATTATGTTAAAACTTACCAGACAATCCTTGCGTCACCTCAGGTTACGGCTACTGTTGCAATATTTGTTTTATGTATCTATATTTATGCAGAAAAAATATAATTTTTTTCTTTAAAACATTTGAAAATATCTATGTAATTTTATCCAAAAAGTAATTCTATTGATAAATTATTCACATTATAAAACCAAAAAAACAAACTCTTTTTTATCTTATTCCTCTACTCCCTTTACAAGCAATAACAAATGTAGCAACACACAACAACAATGTACCAACATAATACACACCAAAACCACTTGCCGCGTCTTGTTGAATAGATGTGTAGTACACACACACGTCTTACTATGAAAACAGCAACATACAATAATACAAATATTTTTTCAATTAGTACTTATTTATAAACGTGTACCGTTAATTTGCAAAAAAAAAAAAAAAAAACACCGACGCAGACGATGTTGTCTGGTTGAGATCACTTTTAACACTGAATTAATTCTTTACTTTTTATACCTTCCACCACCATAAGTGGTGATAGAGGGTATATATAAGTTTGTAATTCCGTGTGTAACACCAAGAAATATTCATCTGAGACCCAACAAAGTATATATATTCTGGATCCTTATGAAATTCTGAGTCGTTTTAGCTGTGTCCGTCCGTCTATCTGAAAATCAGCCAAATCGTGTCACACCTTATTTTCTTTACCACTCTGCAAAATGTATTTTGGATCGGTCCATAATTGGGCATAGATCCCATATAAGGCCCATTTCCGATAACCACGTAAACGCACATATTTCATAACTAAATGAAGATATCGGTATAATATTAGACATGAATGTGTTTATAGTAGATATGAAACACCCTGCGAAATGTTTTCAGGATCGGTCCATAATTAGTCACAGCTCCCAAATAAGGACGCCTTCCGAAAATCGCTTAAATGCAAATATCTAATTAAGAAATAAAGATATTTTAAAACAAGTAAGAAATTGTAGTCGGGCGACCAAATAATACCCTACACCTGTTACAAAAATAAAATGTGATTTAGTTTTCATAATAGAGCATTTAGTTGAATTGTACCTTGCCTCAGATATACTTAAGCCGTTTATTGTTGAATAATATTGTGGATATTTAAGTCAAATTTTGAAGGGGGTTTTATAATTATAAAATTCATGAGAGTCATCGAGGCTAGTATAGAACTTGGTTTTGCAGCTTTTTGTCGAGGTACGAGTATATTGAACATAATTATGAACTTAAAAGCCCTATTCGTCGGGTTCAGTTCTAAGGGGACTAGGTGAAATAATGAACCAATGTTAATAATTTTCAATAGACTTCGTCTCCGGTACCATTTCATTGAATTATCGTCAAAATTGAGAACTGAAGTTTGATTACAAGCTTTACAAGGCCTAATCGACTCAGAAAATGATTCTAAGCCGATTGGTGTACTTAAATAGGCTATAAAAATAAGTTTTTTACGGATCGGTCCATAATTGTTCATATCTGTCATATAAGATCCACTTCAGAAAATCGCACATTTCATTGATAAATAAAGATATCGGAATAAGGATATTTTGTGTATATAAGAAATCTTTTTTTTTTAATTAGAATCAATGCATAATTGGTCTTAGTTCGCATATAAGGCCCATTTCCATAACTCACTTTTTCCAATATATTTTATTCAATTATAAATATATACGGATAAAATCCGACACAGTGTGTTTTTTATCGATAAATCATTCTGTGAAATTTTGTTCGGATTGGCCATATCTCCATAATCTCCACGGAAGAACAATTTAAACTTTCACAATTTATTAAATACGTATCTAGTAATATTTATAAGGGTTTTCATAAAAAGTAGCTTACAGGTGGAGGGTATTTAAGATTCGGCATAGCCGAATATAGCACTCTGACTTGTTGTTCTTTCTTTTGTTCTAACAAAAATAGTGATGCTGTAAATGTTGCAAATCACCATGCACTTTTCGGGTATTCATAAATTAATGGTTAATTAATGCTAAAATTTTTTTATTTTTTATTTTTAATAATAAAGCAAGTGAAAAAGTTGTCGGAATAACTTATAAAAATATATATTTTATACATTTTAAAATTTATTTCCTTAACATAAGCTATAAATAGCAACGAGTATTCATATTTAAAAAGATTGAGTACTCAAATTTAAGTAAGTTACGGCTTACTTTATACACCACTAAAACAAAATGTAAAAACATACACACAAACCTAGAAATTTTTTAATTTCAACTAAAAAACAAGCAAGAAAGTATAGTCGGGCTTGGCCGACTATATGATACCCTACACCACCCAACGGTAAATGAAACAAAGTACTTAGATAATATTCGATGACATCAGTATGACGTTCTAAGCGAGCAATCTAAGTACTTAGAGTGCAATGTATGCGTAATCCAACATATCATGCACTTTAATTATAACATAGATTACGATTTAAGCAGAGAGTTAGCTGCCTTTTTCATGTTGTTTTTTGTTTTTATATCTTTACACAAAAACAGAACTAAAGTACCGTTTTATTTTTCTTTTGTATGTATAGGTACTGCACGAAAAGAATAATATTTTTGTTTCAGTTTAAAGTTGATCTTTTGTAAGTGAAGTTGTGTTTTCTTAAAAAAAGTTATTTTATTGTAAAAATTTAAAATAATTGTGGTGATCTAAATGGCACAAAGGGATTCAAAAATTGGGGTAAATTTACTTCATACATTCTAGTTTTAATACTGACAATTTCCTCTTGTTTGTTTACAGGATCTGTAAAGGAAGATGACCGAAAGTTTCAAAAGAAAATTAAGATTCATTTCATTTATCTTCGTTAAAATTGTTTAATTATATTTTTATTGACATAACTATAATACATGTTTATTATTTGATGATAATTTTTAAATAAACTTACATAATTTGAAATAAACGCAAAAAATATATATTTTTTCTATAACAAAATCGGAAGACATGGTATTTTAACTTACAAATGCAAATAGGATTGTGATCTACATACATTACATTCTTATTTGCAAGCGTTTATAGGCGTCTCATACTTCGCTTAGAACTCCACACATTATGTAAGTGAAATTTTAATTTGTCTTATTGAAACTGTGGCTTACATTCTAAGCGAGAGCACATCGATGAGGCAGCCTAGGACACTTTTATGTTAAATCTAAGTGGAAGAATAATTGAAAGCATCACCACTGACTGCCACGAAATATCACTTAGATAAGCGAGTACATAATGTGTATTTTTACCACTGGGCAGTTATGAATGGGGTTATATTGTTTTTGGCATTCCGTTAGTAACACATCGAAATATTCATCTAACACCCATAAAAGTATATATATTCTGGATCCTTATTAAATTCTAAGACGATCAAGCTATGTCCCCCCGTCTGTATGTCTGTCTGTCTGTTGAAAACACGATAGCGTCCAAATGGAAGTAGCTAGCGGGCTGAAATTTTGCACAGACATTTTATATTTAATGCAGTTTGTTTGGTATTGAAAATTCGCGAATTCGCCTAGCCCCCATATAAGCTCCCCTTCAGAAAATGACTTTAACGATCATAACTGCCTTAAAGAAGCATCTATAGCGATGAAATTCGACATGAGCATATTTTATAGGAACCTTAATATCATTGTAAAATTTTATAAGGATCGGTCCATAATTGACCTATCCCCCATTAAGGTCCCCTTCAGAAAATTAACTTAACGCTCATAACTGACTAAAAGAAGCAGCTATAGCGATGAAATTCGACATTAAGATAGTTTATAGCAACCTTAATACCTTTGTAAAATTTTATAAGGATCGGTCCATAATTGGCCCTACCTCCCATATAAGGTCCCCTTCAGAAAATAACTAACGCTAATAACTGCTTTAAAGAAGCATCTATAGCGATGAAATTCGACACGAACATATTTTATAGAAAAATTAATATCATTGTAAAATTGTATACGGATTGATCCTATCCCCCATATAAGGTCCCTTTCAGAAAATGACTTTAACGCTTATAACTGTCCAAGAGAAGCATCTACAGCTATGTAATTCGACATGAGCATTTCTTACAGGAACCTAAATCGATTTGTATAATTTTATAAGGATCGGTTCATAATTGACCTTACCCCCCATATAAGGTCCCCTTCAGAAAAAGACTTTAACGCTCATAAATGTCTAAAAAAAAGCATCTATAGCGATAAAATTAGACATGAACATATTTTATACAAACCTTAATCTCATTGTAAAATTTTATAAGGTTCCTTTCATAATTGACCCTATCCCCCATATAAGGTCCCCTTTAGAAAATTACTTTAACGCTCATAACTGTCTAAAAGAAGGATCTATAGCGACGTAATTCGACATGAACATATTTTACAGGAACCTAAATCGCTTTGTAAAATTTTATAAGGATCGGTTCATAATTGATCCTCCCCCCATATAAGGCCCCCTTCAGAAAATGGTTTTGATGCTCATAACTGCATCAATAGCGATGAAATTCGACATGAACATATTTTATAGGAACCTTAATATCATTGTAAAATTTTATAAGGATCGGCCCATAATTGACCTTAGCCCCCATATAAGGTCCCCTTTAGAAAATGACTTTAACGCTCATAACTGTCTAAAAGAAGCATTTATAGCGATGTAATTCGACATGAACATATTTTACAGAAACCCAAATCGCATTGTAAATTTTATAAGGATCGGTTCATAATTGATCATACCCCCATATAAGGTCCTCTTCAGAAAATGGTTTTGACGCTCATAACTGCATCAATAGCGATGAAATTCGACATGAACATATTTTATAGGAACCTTAATATCATTGTAAAATTTTATAAGGATCGGCCCATAATTGACCTTAGCCCCCATATAAGGTCCCCTTCAGAAAATGACTTTAACGCTCATAACTGTCTAAAAGAAGCATCTATAGCGATGTAATTCGACATGAACATATTTTAAAGAAACCTAAATCGCTTTGTAAAATTTTATAAGGATCGGTTCATAATTGATCATACCCCCCATATAAGGTCCCCTTCAGAAAATAGCTTTGACGCTCATTACTGCCTAAACTAAAATCGTTCTAGAAAATTTGACGAGGATCGGTCCATAATTGACCAAAAAAAGCAATTTATTGGCGAAAAACTTATTTTCTAAAAGAGGCTTTATATGGGGGATAGGAGCAAATGTGGACCGATCCCGATAAAATGGGCTGGATAGATTTGCATTTATATAATATTTATATAATATATATAATATTTGAATGAATTGCGGATATTCAAGTCACTTTCTGAAGGGGTCTTTGTGTGGGGGCTAGGGTCAAATGAAGTCCGATCATTTCGAAATTCGGCAAGGTCATCAAGGCTTGTATAAAACTTAGTTGTGCGAACTTTCATC